AAAAACTCAGGAGTGAGGAAAAAGTGTTCTCCTTTAACAAGTGGAAAAGGCAGTTTCCAAACCCAAGTCTGTGACAATTTCTAAACCAAAACTTTTCCATCAAACCCTGAGAACACCCCTCCTTGCTCTAGGAAACTTAAGCACCAGCTCCAGTCCGTCTCTGTAACCATTATTATATGTGGTGTTCTGTTTATCATTTTAAATGTCTGTTTGCTCAGAACAAAATGGAGGTAAAGCTTTTCACTGGTACTGCGGTGCCACGTACAATAACATGTCAGGCATTTTGAAATTGATATTGCTTACTAAAACAAGTAAATCATTCAAATTTCACATTTCAGTTATCAGTTATAAGTAAATCCTTTTCTGCAGAAATAAGTATTTGGAGACAAGTAGCTTGGAAATGAAGCTACCAATTTAGTCTCTGTCTATGAAACCATATGTTCAAGGGAACTACTTTATTTTGTATTTAGATCGATGCATTGTAGAAAAGCATTTTGCCTGTGTTCAGGTATTAAAATTTAGTTAGGTCTGCCCATAAACCTGAGCAAACCTCTATGGGGGAAAGAGCATCATGAATAAGAATTACTATGGCAAAAGTAAAGGCGTAAAGAAAGGACTCAAAGGGATGTGGACTCCCAGTGTGCTGGCACACTCCTGCCTCTGTAAATATTACATGATGGCGATGATACCTTTTTTGTGTGATATAATTCATTGTTTCAATAATTAATGTTACCCGTGTGTGTTTCTGAGAGTACCAAGGGTAAATAATTTACTGTAATTACCAAAGAGAAGTGATATTGTTCATTTATTAGAACTTTTTTGGGGGGTGCTTTGTTAAAATAACCTCAGCGCCCCAAATATAGGAAATGTAGTTTACCCAAAAATAAATCAATAAATAAGGGAGCAAGGAAAGGGGAGGGAGGGAGGAGAAAAAGTGAGAAACACTGCCCACTTTACATTAAATATTTGACTCTACTTCTAAAGGTTGAAGGGTTGGGGTTTCCAACAGCCAGTATAAGTAATTGGTAAATGAGGCCAGACTAAGACTCAACAACTCGTCTTTGGTAAACCAGTATAGAATTTGGGGTTTTTCCGAAGTGGTTTATTGCTATTTTGGGATTAGAACCTTGGTTCTGTGAGCTCTTATTAACACCATGAATTGCATGCTTATCCAGTAAATGTTTCCTCTCTTATCAAATGCAGAAAAATCTGTTCTTTATTCATTTTTGCATTTTCCTTGGATATAAGTGGGGTAGTTACTTGCACATAAGTGCTCTACAAATTCTCTTTAAATTTGATGTCAGGTCTTTTTTTTTTTTTAACCTTTGTAATTTGGAGTAAGTTTTTAAATTTAGGTTTTTTGTCCAAGTTATACATATAAATAAAAAGAATGTCATATAGTTCCACAAGACGTTCTTGTAAACAGATTCTCCATTTATACCTTCAGCTCTCTATTCTCTATTATTTTTTCTCCAGAAGCAACTGCTGAAAACACTTTCTGATAACTTATTTTATGCTTCCATATCTCCAAATAAGATGCATAGATTGCTCTCCTCCATTTCAGGCATCACTGACTCCCTATGATGGAAGATGAAGCTCTCATTTTTTCATACTTTCTCTCTCTCACATACGTGCATGGTAACAGAGAAGTATGAAAAAATGAAAGCTTCGTCTTCCATCTTGTTCTCTGCCTTTTATATTACTATGCCTATGTAAGTGCTACTCACAGATGTAAAGTGTGATAGTTTTTTGTTTTGGTACAATTTTTTTTTCCTTAGGTTTTTTTTTTTTTTTTTTCTTCCCATTTGCTTGGTGTTCTCCATATATATCACTAATCTAACCCATAAATTGTTACCAGTTGTGCAAATCTCCTCTCAATATTAGGTATTTTGTCAATTTCATCTAATTCTTCTCCCTTGGAGCTTTCCCGTTGTCAAGTTCCTTGCAGGCCCCCTGCCCAGGTGTCCTCTTGGGTCTTCCATTATCATCACCCTGAAGGTTCTCTTTCTTCTCTCATGTCTTCGCTTATCTTGGTATGGTCCTTCATTTTGGAGGAGAATATAATAGTTTCCTTAGAGAGTGCATGAGAAATATATTTTTTGAGGTTTTATGTATCTGAAAATATCTTAATTCAATTTTCGCCCTTTGTTTATTTGTTCGGCTAGTTATAGAATTCTGGGTTGAAAATCATTTCTTTTTAGAACACTGAAGAGATTGCTTCATTGCCTTTAACTTCAGTTTTTGCTGTTGAGAAGACTAATGGAGCCTTTTCCTCTTTGTGTATTTACGGTCTGTCTTTGTCCACAAGTTCTGCGATTTCACGATGGTACACCATAAAAACCAGTAAATTCAGACCCATGACAACCCCAGGTGTGTCAGAGTGGTACAGTGCTCCCTAGGGTTTTCACTGGCTGATTTTTTGGAAGTAGATCACCAGGCCTTTCTTCCGAGGCACCTCTGGGTGGACCCCAACCGCCAACCTTTTGGTTAGCAGCCAAGTGATTGACTGTACCACCCAGGAACTCTGATGGTGTACTATAAAAACCCATTGCTGTCTAGTCAATTCCAACTCGTAACAACCCTATAGGACAGAGTAGAACTGCTCATAGGGTTTCCAAGGCTGTAATCTTTGCAGAAGGAGACCGCCACGTCTTCCTCCCATGGAGCAGCTGGTGGGTTCAAACCCCAACCTTTCAGTTAGCAGCCGAGCATTAACCACTGTGCCACTAGGGTTCCTTTGTTATAATGTAGTGGAGTCTACGTTCATCCATGGTTCTGGCCACTCATTGGGTCCTTTTACTGTGGAAACTCAGGTCTTCAGCTCTGATTTAGTCTCTTTTTCACTATTTTATTTTCTAGAACTTCTGTTTTCTTTGCGGTGGTAGTGAGGATTTGACCTCCTCTCCTGAACTGGTCGTTTGCTTTCTTATATTTTCTCTTCTACTTTCAATTTTTTCCCTCTAATTTCTAGGACATTTCACTGGGAAATCCCACTGGTCAGGTCAGACTCCCCAGCGAAGACTCTCCCAATTTTCTGCCTAGAAATACTTACCCTAGCCATCTGTGTTCTGGGAAGAAGGCTGGGTCTGAACATTTCAGTATTTACAGTTTCACTTATTCCTCATTTTCAGTATTGAGTCTCTACCTTCAACTATGCTATTATTCCTCAATTCAGAGATACTTTTGAACTCCCCTCCAAGAATAAATCTCTACTTTTCTGCCAGGGTTTAGGGAGGGGAGGGGGGAGCATTGTTTGGCTAGTAATAATGAGGGGATTATGGAAGTCAAATAACTTTTTAAACATTTTCAACTGATTCTTCTTTTTTTCTAGTGATGTCTTTTAAACTCTTTGTGTATGTGTTTTTAAATAATTGACTGTCATTTTACTGGGGTTGCAGTAGGGACCAGATTTTTAGCAGAACAATAATTGAGATTATTTTTCCTTTTATCTGTAGGATAACAGCTTCATCAGACTTAAAGCATTCTCAGCCATTATCTCTTCAAATACAGCTTCTGCGTCATTCTCTTTCAATTGTACTTCTGGGAGTCCGGTTACACATATGTTAAACCTTTCACTGTGTTCCACATGTCTCATTCTGTTTTCTTTACTTTCCATTCTTTTTTTTTTAATCCATGCTTCCTTTTGTATGTTTTCCATTGACCTGTTCCAGTTTCCTATCCCTGTTTTCTATTGTGTCTTGTTCAGAGGTGGCATTATATTTAAAACTAAACAAATGCCCATTTGATTCTTCTTTATGTGTATTCTAGTGCTTTGCTGAATTCTCTACCTTTAAATCTATTTTCTCTATTTCCCCCCATTTTCTTAAACATATACTAATCATAGTTATTGTAAGATTATTGTTAGTTTAGTTCAATATCTAGATGAACTGTAGTCTGTTTATAATGTCTGGATTTTTTTGTTTTTGTTTTTCTCTGTGGTTTGGCTGTGCTTGACAATTTTGGTTGAATGCTTGCCATAGTGTATTAAAAAGTTATAGATACACCCAACAGTGTTACATTCCTCCAGAGACTGTTTCCATTTTCTCTCTGCTCGGCAGATAGACTGGTGGCTGATCATTTTAATCCAAAATTTTGTTGAAATGAGGCTGGTTTGTAGCTCTCTGGTTTGTCTCTGGCTGTCCAGTGTTCTTATTTGTAATCCTGGGGTAATCTTCATGTCTCCTGTCCCTTACAATTCCCAAACTCAAAATCTTTTCAATCATGAAACTGCCAAAAAAGCCCAGCTTTCTAGAGAGTTACTGGTTAGATTTCTAGCTTCCTCCTGTGCATAGCCCCAGAATTCAGCAAATGTTGTGAGTGGAAAACTGTAGAGTACTTGAGGCCACCCAAATTTCCGACGAAATCTCCTGATTTCTCTGTTCCCCAAGAAGGCCCCTGTAGGGAACCAAATTCTACCTATACTGGTAATTGACAAATGCCTCCAATTTTAAAATAGCAATAAAAAGTCGCCTCTTCAAGACTTTCCCCTCTTCAGAGTTAGCGCCTTTCCTTCTCAGTGCCTCAGCTGCTCTCTGTTGCATTCAGAGATGATTTCTGTATTTTATCTGGCTTACTCAGTGGAAGCATTAGTCCGCTGCCAGCTCTCTATTCCACTTGGAAACAGGGAGTCATCAAGATTGAATTATTTTTATTCTGAAAATTGGGCAAGAATTTTATAACACTTGTAGGATTAATTGGAAGTGTGTTGAAGTACTTAAAATCATGGTTGAAAATTACTTCTGTGATACTGCTTTTGCAGTGCAAATTACCCCGGGTGTTTCTTAGAAGATTGAAATAATACAACATATCATTTGACTTTATTTTTTAACTTCTCTTGTACTCAAATTTCAATATAAACCTTCATAGAGAAGGATTTGAAAAGTATGTATTTTGAATATTAGACTGTCTGGACTTCTAGAGAAATACAAGTGTATTTTATAGGTGCAGAGAAACCAGTGCTCGTGTGGATTGTTGATGTAATATATTGTTTTATTTTTCAGCATCTAACATTCACAAGAGAGTTTGATTCAGATTCTCTTAGACATTACAGCTGGGCTGCAGACACTTTGGACAATGTCAATCTTGTCTCAAGCCCTGTTCATTCTGGGTAAGTAACCAAAATGTCACTTTTCTTTTATCCTATTATCGTTGCATTTATTATTTACAGTTATAAATTCATATCACCAAGCTTCATATGTTTGAAATATTGGTCTTCGAAATATTGATCTTCTAAAGGACTTCATTAGTGAGTATATGTGACATGTATTTGTACACCATTAGTAATTTTTTAAGCAAATCTGCATATCTACTTTTATTGATAAAAGCACAATGTTAGAAAGGAAATGAATTAAATTATTAATTGCAGTGAAATTTCCTGGCAATTCTGGTACCTCTTCTAAGTTTTAAATTTTTCTTTTCAATTAAAAAAATACTAATTTCTCTTAATTCTACTTTACTATTGAAATGAAGGGAACCCTGGTGGCATAGTGGTTAAAAACTACGGCTGCTAACCAAAAGGTCAGCAGTTCAAATCCACCAGGCACTCCTTGGAAACCCTACTGGGCAGTTCTCCACTGTCCCGTAGGGTCACTATGAGTCAGAATTGACTCAAAGGCAATGGATTTTTTTTTTGTTTTATTGAAAGGAGGTTTTGTTTCTGGGCATCTGATTTTCCTTTCTAATAAAAAATTATTTCTGTTAATTTAATGTTACTGTTTGATGGCTTTGGAACTTTGCATCTAATAATAGAAGAATCTCGTTTAAACATTTAGTTAAATAAGCAGTGAGCTCTGTTGTTCATATTTTTTTCCATATGATATTGACCTTTGATCTACAAGTTGTTTTATATGATTTTTTCTTAAAAAGAAAATATAAACTTGAAACCTTCACATCAACAGTTGGTGCTTTCTGCCTTCTTGAAATAAAATTATAATTAAATTGCATTAAATAACAGCTAGGAAAAAAAGAAGAAAAAATGCACTTTAAAAAAAAAGATACAAATGTATATATACCAAAAGTGCTATAGTAAAAACCACATCATACAGACTCCCACAGCTGAATTGATAAATTAATAAATCAGTGTATTTTAGATATTGGATTCTTCACCTGTAGATATTTTAAACTTGGGATATCTGATATCCCTACAAAAGGAATAGGAGTAATCTATTAAAATGAGAAAAATCTCAAAATGTTAATTGCCTTTGAAACTGATATTTAGCCATAAATTAGTTGTGATCCAGTCAAGGGCAGGTTAATTTGGAATTAAATAAATTAATAATAATTAACATTTATAATGGGTCTTCTATTTTATAAAGTATTTTCTGATGCTTCTAATTAAAATATATTGTAATAGCTAACATATACCTAGTGTTTTTTGTGTAACTGGCATTGCGCTAAATCTTTTCCATGTATTTTTTAATTTAATATTTATTTGAACCTTAAAATGGAACTATTAGATATTACTCATTATCCCCATTTTACAGATGTGATGCCTGAGGCTCAGAGGAGTGCTACAGGTTATTTAAAGTAACTTACAGAATTGGGCCTTCTGACACCACATTTTGAAAACAAATCAATGCAGTGTCATTCAAATGGAGATAATTTACATGTACTCTCTACATATGAAAGAAAAGTATTCGAGTTTAATTTAGTAAGTGGAGAAGTTGAAGAAGTATAGACTAATAAAATCAGAAATGAACTTTCCCAAACATAGAAGATGATGAAGTATTAGAATATGAAAATTATCTCCCCTTCCCTTTGAGCTTTATTGACAACAATAGACATGTGCAGCGAGGCAGAATTACTAGCAGCCAGTGTGGGCTTATTTGAAAAAGAAAATATAAACTTGGCATACATTGGGCAACATTTCACTAATGCCAGGTCTGTGGAGTAGTCTGTATAGCCATTTCAGGCAAATATTTTTCCAGGTTGTACTACAAATGCCAAATGCCTTGGTTTCATTTTCTGATGGTTTTTACTTTTCATTTGCTTATCATTGACATTTTCTGTTGCTTGCTTCTAATTATCTTACATTAATTTTTCCCATTTGCTTTCTAAATTATTTTGCAGCTATTCTTCTCCACTTCCTCAGTATGATTCAAGGTGATAACTGTGTCCTTTATGTGAACCATCCTTTTTGCATTTTTAATTTATGTGACTTTTTCCCACAGTTAGATTGTGTCAATGTCTGTAGTGTATCAGCATTTGTTACCCTGCTGTTCCTAAAACTAGAAACATTTATGTGTTAGCTTTAGAACCGTTTGTAGATTTCATGCCGTAGTTTAAATATAATTATTAAGATATAAATATTATTAATCATCACCTTTTAATTTATTTCTGTAAGTTATGATGCATGAAATTTTGTTTTGCGCAGAGTGTGTAAAACTAGTCACAGTATTTTATAATGTTATTGAATAATAGGACCCAACATCCTGCTTAACGTATATATACTCCTACCTTTCCTCCATCTGTTGGCACCGTAAAGTTGAAAAGCTCAAAACAATAAATTATGGTTAAAGAGCACCAGCTATGCACTGGGTGGTCTGCAGAACGCAGAGAAAGAGAGTCTTCCGATTTGACATTAAAATCATCTTAGCTATACTTTTGTGTCCATTTGGTTCCAGTATTCTTTATACGTAGAATATTTTTATGTTGCCACTGATAATCATCTTACACAACCTTCAGACTGCTCGGCAACAAGCTGTATTACTTTTTTAGTATTAATGATCCAGTATAACCTACGGCGGTTTTTAAGCATACTTAGCAAAATCGTTTTCATTCATTGATTTATTCAAGAAACATTTATTGTGTGCTCACGGTGTGCAGCCACTGTAGGTTGAGTAGTGAACAAGATAGACCTTATCTGAATTACTCTCTGTGTTGTTGAGAGTCAGCTGTTGCCACGCAGGGCCAGCATTATCCTTACAGTGGAAACATTCCAATGTTACTTGTACTAGTACAACTGAATTTTCAAACCCAGACTTTGTCTGAATGGTTTTTAAGACATTTTGTTACTATTATTCCCAATCACACATTGATTTTAGTTACTAAATGCTGGGAAAATTCAGATTTTGGCTTAAGCTTCTTTGTAATATTGCCTTATTGCCTTGTTATTGAGTAAAGGCAGTTGTTAATTATGTAAACATATACATACACATTTGTGCACACACATCTAAGAAAATTTAGGCACCTAAGAGCAATTTCAAGTGAGCCTACTGTCATCTAACACTGGAAACAGTTTATTTGGAGAATTGTACAACTAAACAGTTACCGTTGTCTTTGACAAGGGAGTCTTTGTTTTGTTTTCTTGTTGGTTTTGATGGGGGCAGTCTGTCCTCTTACCTTGAGTAGCATAATGGTCCCAGCCTCTCCAAATAGGTAGAACGTTATCTAAGATGTAAATTGATCGTTAAGTAAATTGATTAAACTGAAAATGAGTAAAAGGGTATGGAGGTGTCTACCTTACTGAAGGCCGGAATTAATTCTGAAAATCTGATTGGCTGAAAAATGATCCCCATCGTATTGCCTGTTCCCATGGGATCCAGGGCAGTTTGCCATGTTGAAGAGTCACTTTTCCAAGGTTGAGAGTCCTCACCCTTCAGGAAAGGGTCCCCGGCTAGGATTTTCATGGAAGGCCATAAAATCTATTTGCAGGCTGTTATCACTGTTTTTAGATTAATAAATAATAGGGCATTTTGATGGATGGGATTGTAATTTCTCCAAAAACGTTTTAGGTATCCAAACAATTTTTTAATTAACAACATTTGGTGGTTTTCCAGTAAAAAGCTTATTTTCAAATGTGAAATTAGAATGCAAGGATATGTGTTTCTGTTGGCTTGTTCTGACTCGCACTCTTCCATGTGTTGAGCTCGTTGATAACCTGTTCACTAGCGTGCTTTGTAACACTGTGATGACAGTGGGAGGGCTCATGGAGGGCTTTTTCCATGAGCACATGATCAAAATCAGGAATTCCAGTATGCTGTTATCCAGATATTACAATTTATTTCCATTTCTACTTCCAGATAAATTTTTTCCTCCTTAGCTTGACTATAAAGATTGGTTTAAGAATTATGTAATTTAGAGATGTTCTCTAAAAAAATCTAAGATACCATTATTTGTATTGCTGTACAGATTCTCAAACATAGGTTATTTAAAACAATTTGTTAGCCCAAATTTATACTGAAAAGATTAAATCCCTTTCCATCAAAATTACCTTCGCAAAACTAGTCATCTTCTGCTTTTGGTCTTAAATTCTGCTTTATGATAGTTAAAATTAGTGTGTTGGTATACTAAATATACATTCATTTGACATACTGTGGAGTATCATCTTACTTGTATGGGGGAGAGGTGAGGTTACATAGTCAGCTTATGGCAGAAACCACTTATAGTTAAAATGATCCTTGAATATATCTTCAACCACCCACAAAGACCATACACAGTGGGTTTTTTGTTTTTAAATTTACAACCGTCTTTTAATAGCAGTTTTTATCCTGATGTTGAAACATTCACTCTTGTGTCAATTTGAGCATGTGATAAAGTGGTTGGCTTCTGTCAGGGGACCACATTAGACCAAAAAATAAGTTGTGGTGTTTCAGTTTTTGCCCAGCGCACAAGATAAATGCATGTTTGATGCGACTCCACCGTATTTATTTCCGGTTTATCTTGTAAGGGAGGAAATGATAGCTATATTGAACGTTGCTTTAAACTTTAACACTTAATTTCAAAACTTGCTGTGAAGATGATCTATTTCTCTTCGTAATTTGGCCTCTGGTTTTCTCCTTGCAGGTTTCTGGTTAGCTTTATGGTGGATGCACGAGGTGGCTCCATGAGAGGAAGTCGTCACCATGGGATGAGAATCATCATTCCTCCACGCAAGTGTACAGCCCCCACCCGAATCACCTGCCGTTTGGTAAAGAGACATAAACTGGCCAACCCACCCCCCATGGTGGAAGGAGAGGGATTAGCCAGTAGGCTGGTAGAAATGGGTCCTGCAGGGGCACAATTTTTAGGGTAAGTTGATTTGTCAATTTTAATCTTGGCCCTCATACTACACCTTTGATTTTCTTTACGCTTGTTAACTCAAGTAGTTAACTATTAAAACTACTTAGTTGGACAGTTTGATTGAGTACAACTTCTGTGTAGTGTCAGAGGTGACAAAACTGTGTAATTCTGTGAAAACTATTAGATTGATACTTCCTTAACTTGGTGCTGGTCAAAGCTTTCACTAACCAAGAAGCATGTTCTCTGCTCCGTAAGTGCATGGAACCCTAATGGCCCCTGTAGAAGTCCAAGGCATCGTTCTTAGGAAAAAGAAATAAAGATACTGGAATTATATCCCCGCATTAAGTAAACAACTACTTTGGGACATACCTTCTTAAAGATAATTTTTTAGAGAAACAATCCACTGTGATACAATGGTATTTTTTAAAAAGGAAACATAAATTTAATTCATTTTCTGAGGTGGCACTTGGGTGCAAACCAGGCAGGCTCTGTCGTAACTGACAGTTTGTTCACAATTTCCCCTTCTTGTTTCTCTTCCTGCTGCATGGATGTTATTCAGTAAACTGCATCTTCCTACCAACCCTCCCCCTGTAAATGAGGGGGAGAGCTTGGTTAGCCGAATCCTGCAGCTTGGGCCTCAAGGAACAAAATTTATTGGGTAGGATCTTTATAGACAAGATACAGAATGTCTACAATTTTTCTTTTTTCATTTTCAATTTTTTTCTGTCACACCCATGGTCTTATTCTTGTCTTATTTTTATTTTTTTAAGTTTTTTAATGCTTTCAGTTGATGTGTGTCACTGAAAGAAAAAAAAAATCATAGTGGCTTGACTTAATGTAGCCCTGCTACCTATCTTGTGCTTTTCAAGCATGTGGAATTCACTGCAAGCATTCTGCTTTCATAACTTTGTGCTTTTGTAATTTTTTTTTTAATTTGAAATGTTACAACTGCATATGGTATTTTCTATGACAGACTGACCGTCTTTAATTTTAACCCAGTGAAAGAAAAGGTAGTTGCAGGCTTTGAATCAACACTTGCTATAAATGATATATATGTATATATAGATATATGTGTATAGATATGTGTGTGTGGAATTACATTTTAAAATAAGTACTTACGAGTACTATGTAATCTTCATTGGCTTTGAGAAAGAAAAATCATCAGTAAGTAAACTGATTCTGAAAAATGGCGATACAAGATATTTAAAGAAAACTAAAAAGGCATCAGATAGAATATTCTATAAAGTTATTAAGTTGTTATGTTTTGTTTTTTGAAGCTGAAATGTGTTGGTATTTGTTGTTTGTTTGCTTGTCTGTTTGATTGGTGTTGTTGCCTTGGCAGTTTGCATGAAGAAACCTGTTATGAAAAGTTATGCTCGGCTTTCACCTTGGTCAAAGATCCTCATTCATATCTTCTCTCCAATATTGTTGAATGTCATACACAAAGCCACATTCCTTAAATATTTACAGAGACAGTATCTGATACATTAACCTGCAAAGATTGTATCTTGTTCTAAAAAAAAAAATTTAATTTCCAATCATAGTATGATTAAAAACTATTGTAAATATCTTAATAACTCTTGAGATTATGAAGTCTTAGCAATAGTTAATTTTGTTTCTACCTATCAAAGAATAAAAGCATTATAAAAATAATTCTTAAATGCCCTTAATTTGGATCATAATTTTTTTTTGCCAAAGTAAAATGATCATATTAATCATTCCCATTTTAAGCGAATGCTTTTGTAATAAATCTTTCTATATATTTTTATATATGTGATTTGATTATTACAACTATTATCCCTCTTTACGCTCTTCCTGATTTAAGCCTGTCTTTCTCTTATCACACTTACATAAACACTTAGGCTAAGAAGTGAGGTTACATACAACCTCTGTAGGAGAATAATGATACTGTCTGCTTAAATGTCATAAAATAAAGCTGCACAATCCAACTACATAAACTGTGTGTGATTGTGGTCTGCTTACTTCCATTCATCTTTTTTAGTATTTATCCTAATTTAAAATTTGACAAATTATTTTCCCGTGGTTTGATTGGCTATCTTCAATTTGCAGCCATTTTTTCACATTCCCTTGCAAAAGGACACTGTCAAAAATTAATAGATCATTATGTGATGATTTCAAACTGACAAGTGCTCTTTCAGAAAGTTTAACTATCCTACTAGGGGTTATACTAGAGCCAGGAAATTAAGCTGCCCACTCACTACCATTTCACAAATTGGAAATCAGAGAAACTATCTATATATGAAAGTTGTGGGAACAGGTACAGAGAGTAGATTATTATATCAATTGTTTTCTCACTAAGGGAAAAAACAAACTATAGCAGTAATCTTTCAAAATAGGAAATTTATAGAATTTTTTTGAAGAAATGACTGTGTCCTTTTAAATCATTAGCATTTTGTATAATATCCGCATCATGAAAAAAAAAAAACAATAGACCAACTTTCTATCTATCTAATGGTCTATTTTAGTAACTTTCAATTCCTTGATTCAGAATTTCTATGTGCTGAATATTTTCCCCGATTAAATCCAGTGCCTAACAGATAGTTGGCCCTCAAGAATTGTTTGTGAATGAATGAATGATGGCATGTTATCAGGCTTCTAATATATTATTATTTAATTAGCAAATGATTCTGCAGCTTTGAAATCATTCCCAACCTTAGTGGCACCTCTGATTTTCAAATGAATACTGTTAATGAAACATCTGTTAAGTATGATACTATAAATATATTTAATCAGATACCAAAATAATGTGGATTTTTTTTCCAGCCCTGTCATAGTGGAAATCCCTCACTTTGGGTCAATGAGAGGAAAAGAGAGAGAACTCATTGTTCTTCGAAGTGAAAATGGTGAAACATGGAAAGAACATCAATTCGACAGTAAAAATCAAGATTTCACTGAATTACTTAATGGCATGGATGAAGGTAAGGAAGATGACTTCTTGTTTCTGTCAGTGTCTGCAGGCAGAAAATCAAGGGAATGACCAAGACAAAATGAAACAGTATCTGAATTTCACCCATTTGTATTTTAAGCTCGGACTTGGGTTCCTGAGCAGTTTTTCCCATTTTCTGTTTCTAAAGCATGGGGTTCCATTTAATCTAACAAACTTTTTTTTTTCTTTACAGTACAAATGTATGAATGTTCTGATGATTCTTTGAGTCTTTAATTTTATATGTGGATTTTATCAAAATCTAATGTTTTCTAAATCACGAATAGCTAAGGAGAAGAGGGTGAGATAATGGAAGGTATGCAAAGCATGCAGAGCATTTTTTAGGAAAACACATTCACAGTTTATTTTTGGAATTATTATTTCCGAATCTTTTATTTTATCTTATTCCATTTTCTCCCAGATTATGTCAGTGTCCTTCATGAATTTTTAATTTTTCTTGGGCCATAATCTTTTTTTTTTTTTTTTAAATAAGTTTCAGGCTAATTATTGGAATCTGTGGTGTTTCAGTGTCTTATTCTTTGACCTAGTAAGACCTGTATATAGTTGAGCCTGTCGCTTTCTCATAAAGAACTTCAGGCTGTCTGACCCTGAGAATCATCACAGTTTTTCATAGGACATCAGGAATGAAACAGACTGGCTTTGAGAGTACGTGCTTGAAGAATTTTCCTTTAAAAAAAAGAGATCAAACTTACCATAAAATAATGCTGATGGAGAAAAAAAATTAGGGCTGATCTTCAGTTTATCCTCACTTCTTAAACACTACAGCTTCAGTTTTTGAGACAGCAGCTTTACTGGAGATAATAATTCACATGCCTGTGCTGTCCAGTTCAGTTATCACTAGTCACATGTGGCTCTTGAACCCTTGAATGTGGCTAGTGCAATTGAAGAAGCTAATTTTTTATTTTGTTTAATTTTAATTAATTTCAAGTAGCCACATGTGGCTGGTGGTTACCGTACTGGAAAGTACAGTTCTAGCAAGAACATTGACTATTCTAATATATTTTTCATTTTTGAGTATACATTATATATAGCATGTCCTGTCAGACAGAAGTAGAATTTTAAAAATATTCTAAGGTTTATTTATGGAATAGACTGCCTCGATTTCATGCTGACATTTCTTCATTCTGTCTTTAATAAGTTGTTTTCAAATAGAAATTAGCCATGTCATTGCTTAGGTAAATGATGCGCAAAACACTGAGAATATCTGTCAGACTTCCTAAAGAAACAGTGATATAACCCTCTGTCCTGGATTCTGATTATCTTGGAAATAGTAGATAAGAGTTTCTTTGCTACATTTTTAAAGACCAGATAAACTTTGGTTCCATTTTAGAGAATTAAAACCACATATAAACACATCCAGGTTTAAAGAACCAAACGCTAGAGGCTGCTAGAGCAAAAATGAGGACTAAAGTTTTCAAGACACAGTGGTTTTCTTCATATATTAAATTTAAAACTAATAAAAACAAAGGAACCACTACACACGCTTTGTAATTGGAGCTCAGATTTTATACCAAGTTCAAGCCCTGCTTACCATCAGACTTCTGTCCTCAGACTCCCTTCACTCCTTTTGGAACATCCTTCTGTCTAAAAAGGGAGGTAAAAATAAAAATCAGTCTATCTTTTTTTAAAAAAAAAAATCAACCCAACTTCTTCCTTGAAGGTCCAACCAGTCCGAGTTCTAGTGGGGAGAGAGTATAAGCGCAATTTAGGAGGTTTTCTGTTCTTACGTTCTTCTGCCATCTCCATCCTGTTCCCTTCCCTTTTTCTGTTCCTAGATATCTGGTTATTAACAAGATAAAAAGAGCTCATGAACTAAAACAGTGACCATATCACTCAAGATATCCTTAAAGAGGGAAACATTGTTCTATCATTATTTTATTTAGCCTATTAATTTCCTTTGGAACCCTGGTGGCACAGTGGTTTAGAGCTCGGCTGCTAACCAAAAGGTCGGCGGTTCGAATCTACCAGCTGCTCCTTGGAAACCCTATAGGGCAGTTCTACTCTGTCCTGTTGGGTTACTATGAGTCAGGCTCGACCCAGCAGCAATGGATTTGGTTTGGTTTATTAATTTCCCTAGTGCATAATTACACTTTATCAGTCATCTATGGCAACTGACCCTTGATAATATCTGTCTTATTATAAATGTTTCCTTTTCAATGCCCCTTTTCCATAAATGAATTCTATGTGCTTCTTTGATAACCAGTCCTGTTGCATGCTCTTCTCTGGAAATCTTATAACCCAAGTATTTAAGATTCATTTTAGCCAATATTTTGTCACTAATTTTTACTAAACACAATTGTAAAGATCAGTTTATGGTTCTGTATTATTTTAAAAGTTGCAGAGTCTTTCCATGCGCACAATCAAATTTCATTGTTACACTAACTCCAAGGAAAGACAAGTTCAAGAGGGAGATAATTTGCCCAGTGTAATGTAGTGGTCATGATCTTTGGAAGTCACATAGACTGGAGTTCCCATCCTGGCTGCACCATTTACTAGCTGTATGACCCGAACCAAGAACTCAGTCTCTCTACACCTTAGTTTATCTGTAAAGTGAGACTGATGATATTATGTACCTCACAGGCAACTAATGCAGAATGTTGTTAGGTACCATCAAGTCAGTTCCGACCCATAGCAGCTCCATGTACAACAGAACGAAACACTGCCCGCTTCTACACCATCCTCCCAATCATTTCTGTGTTTGAGCCCATTGTTGCAGCCACTGTGTCAGTCCATCTCATTGAAGGTCTTCCTCTTTGTTGCTGACCCTCTACTTTACCAAGCATGATATCCTTCTCCAGGGACTGGTCCTTTCTGATAACATGTCCAAAGTATGTGAGACAAAGTGTAGCCATCCTCACTTCTAAGGGGCATTCTGACTGTACTTCTTCCAAGACAGATTTGTTTGTTCTTCTGGCAGTCCATGGTATATTCAATATTCTTTGCCAACATCATAATTCAAAGGCATCAGTTCTTCTTCTGTCTTCCTTATTCATTGTCCAGCTTTTGCATGCATATGAGGCAATTAAAAATACCATGGCTTTGATCAGGTGCAACTTAGTCCTCAAAGTAACATCGTTGCTTTTTTTAACACTTTAAAGAGGTATTTTGCAGCAGATTTGTTTGATTTCTTGACAGCTGCTTCCATGGGCATTGATTGTGGATCCAAGCAAAATGAAATCCTTGACAACTTCAATATTTTCTCCGATTAACAGAGCAAATGAGGAATAGATGAGCTGGTATATGTAAAGTGCTTAGTGTGATACCTACTCATGAGAACACTTCAATCAAAGTTAGTCAGAGTCACGGCTGCCGTGTACAGGTGTGCAGGCTAGGCTCTAAGCAGAGGCTCCTGGCTAAGAGGACAAGTGACAGCTGAAATCCTGTCTCTTCCACTTGCCAAACTGTCCTGACACTGGCCTGCAGGACAAAGGGCCATTCTTCTCTGAGTTGCTCAACATCACTGTCTGGTTGCTAAGCCATGGACCTGCAGGGTTGTGTCCACACCAGATGGGCACCCCTTTTCAAATTGCGTCAAGACACCATATGGGCTAGTGGAAGCCCTGGTCACAGCTGATGACAGTGACACTCACCCCATCACCACCATCCAGTCAGGAAATAGTAATAGATCTAGACTTCCAAATTCTGGACTTCTGATCCCAAGTCTAGTTGTCTGTCTTTCTGTAACACTCCTTCACCTCTGTATGTTCTCAAATGAAGGATGTTTTGTGTAGAATAAAAATATCACACAAATGTGAGGTGCAGTATAATTTCCCATGACTAATCCAGGTACCCTCTTCGTTCCTTATGACTCAAAAGGATATGGTATGTATTCAGGAAAAATTCTGATTACAAAATAAGGTGGAATTAGGAGTTGTTTTTATTATTAGCAAGCCCAGGGACGAAAGCATCAATGGTTATACTGATGAAGCAGGTGCATTAGCAAAGCTCTGTTGAAGTTAAGAGGCTAGAATGACACAGAGGACACTTGGTCTGGATGTGAAGAACCTGCTGCTACCTCTAAAGTATCATGTGGCAAGAGCAGCTTTTCTCTCTGGCAGCAGACATGCATCTTGTTCTAACACTTGTCAATTCATTTTTCCTAAGCAGACAAAAAGACATTGCAAAAAAGAGAAAACAAAGATTCATCTCCCTCCTCCAAAAACATCATCTTAAAGTGCACCAAATTGAATCTGCTTTGTAAATTTAATTAAACCTTATGAGTCGATTCTGACTAACAGTGCACTATCGAACAGAGTAGAAGTGCCCCATTGGATTTCCAAGGCTGTGAATCTTTACGGAAGCAGATTGCCACATTTTTCTCCCCCAGAGCGGCTGGTGGGCTCCTACCACCAAGCTTTTGGTTGGCAGCTGAGTACTTTAACCACTGCACCAACAGGGCTCCTTAACCTTACTTTAAGTTAAACTTAAAAAATCTTAATTACAAAGTTTAACTGAACATGTTTAAAGTTATGTCTCTAAAGACAGATCCCAAGGGGTGTTTTGCAGTTCACAGTTTGCAGTTATGCTGGACCTGGGAAGAATCCTTCCTCCTTAGAGGTCCTTAAGTTAGAAATTGGAGAGCTTGAGAAATGTCCTGCTCCTGAACTGTCCAGTACAGTAGCCCCTAGCTACATGTGACTGGCAAGGACTTGAAAATGGGGTTCATGCTAATTGAGATGTGCTGTGTATGTGAAATACACTAGATTTTGAAGATTTAATACAAAGAAAAAACTCATTAATAATTTTACATTGGCTTCATGTTGAAGTGGTAATATTTTAGATAGGTTAAATACAACATATGATTAAAATTTATTTCTCCGGTTCTTTTTTATTATGTTGTGTGATCATTAGGAAATGTAAAACGACATAGGTGGCTTGCATTATATTTCCACCAGACAGCGCTTCTCTGGACAGCATGTAGATTTTATTTTACATATTCCTTTAGGTTTTAAATCAAAATCATTGCTACCTAAG